AAAATAAAAAAAAAAAAAAAAAAAAAAAGAGAGAGAGAGAGAAACAAAGAGTGACAGGAAGTGAAAAAAGGTAAATAAAAAAGAAAAGTTGAGCGAAACGCGGTGTAAAGAGAATTCCTGATGAGAAACAAGCGTTCGGGTCAAAGGTTCGGCACAACCCATCCAGGAGCAATCTTGCCAATCGGTTCACGTTGAACCTCTCCCTTGTTGTCCAATAGTATTTTCAGGGGCTGCCTCAGACCATGTTTCCTGGGGAATAACGCGTCAACGTCGATACTTAAGGACATTTTGGCAAACGATTATACCTCGTAAGCTCTTTCAACAAGGCACTCATCTCTCACCGTCTCGCGCAGGGGTGCCTTCAGCGATCATCCCTTTTAAGCCGATTCATAGTCACCGACACATTCTCCAAATTCAACAAAGTTCCAGGCGGTGAGAGCCTCGTAAAAACTACCCTAAAGTAAGATCACGGGCGGCGGATGTGTATCGAGGGTGGAAGGGTGCCTGGGGCAGATTCGATATGGACCAAACAAATTGAAGAGAGAGAGAGAGAGAGAGAGAGAGAGAGAGAGAGAAGAGGGGGTGGGGAGAGGGTAAGGGCTCGCGATTAAAATTGCATCGAGGCTTATCTCCAGATAGCTGATTGACTTTTGAGTAATTTGTAACCAGAACGGAGGCTCCTGCTGGGCTATTGTGCTAAGACCCGTAGACTTAACACGCTGGACAATAGTTTATCGGACAGTCTACCTCGATGGGGATGGAGGTCCTGGCTAAGGGATATCGTCAGCCAATGAGGGGTGTGCACCACCGAACCTATATTCAGCTCATTAGGTAGCTGATTACCCAAGCATGCCCAAACTGAAACCCTACCCTTACTCCACCCTCCTCCACCCTCCTCCACCCCCCAGCGTTCACGTCTACCTAGGAGTCACCATCTGACACTTGATTTTCACTCGGGCCACAGTGTAGCCTCGCTCAGACCTCAACGTAACTTCCTCCTCGTCGCAGCATCCCCCTGTAGCCTTAATGCCTATAGGAGCTCTTCAATACTCTCCGCTACTCTCTGTGCTATCTATACTCGTCAGTCATCTACATCCCTTATCCATCTCAGCACCCCGCGAGATATACAGACCGTCAAACTTTCCCCTGGCAATGGTTGCTTTATTCTCTGGCGCTTTGCTCGCCGCTATTCTCCAATCACAGTGAAAGGCAAACGCAAAAGAGAAACAGTAGGAGGGACGAGGTGGAAGGGCGGAGAGAATGATAAAGAATGGAATAAAAATAGAGAAGATAGCAAAGGAACGGACGGATTGAAGAGACTCGAGTTTAGCGAGGCGCTGCCGAGTTTTGTTAATATCGACGGTGGCTTCGGTATGGCGTCGGTTGCGTCGGTAGAGCGTCGACGGCGTCCGGCTACTCTCTGAACTCACTCGCTCGCTCGCTCACTCCCTCTCGAAGAGTCGAGCTTTCGAGCTTTCCCCACTTTACTGCTATACGAACGGAATCTCCCGCGGGCAGCGGAACTCCGAAATACGTATATCTCGTTGCCTTAAATAACGGGGAAACTTGAAGTTTCGTTGGCACCAAACACTCCCGGCTGCGCCAATACTAGTCTCAACTAAATTCAGACTTCCAACCCCTAAGTGGACACCGATCTTCCAGTATCTCAACACGCTCAAACAATTAGTCCATTCCAGTCGACGACTGCACAACTTTCATTCTCAGCTTGGATATTGCCCATTCCACAAATGTGAGTCTTTTAAGGAGAGGATATATATCATACAGAGAGAGTACTGAAAAATCATCATGAGATTGAAGGGTTCGAATCCGAGTTAATGACAAACAAAAGTAGAACATTTTCTTTTTATCGAAACACGTCAAACTGAAAGGGGTTGGAAGTTAATCGATGTAACTCTTGACTGGTGAGGACCGAACTTCTCTGGCTTATGTAATCTTTATGGGGAGATGAAAGTGAATTTTATATGCATATATGTATGTTCCTATGATGACGCGCTGAACCTTCATTTCCTTCCTCTTCAATATTTGACAAGGGTGACGCTATATGTCGCCACGGTGTGTAATCAAGGTTCGCGCATCATGCAATTTTCACGAAAAAAAGTCATTTCATACCGGAAGTGGAATTTCAAGTCGAAACTAAAGTCACTAATTTTAGTAATTCACTATACCATGAAACTTTGTATATAGCCCCTGAATACTTGTAGACCCAGAAGAACCTGATGATACGTTACGCCCAGAGCGCCCTACGTGAATTTTGCACTTTCAGGTGAAACGCTGCGCGTATAACGACCGAGGCATTTTAATGCTATTGGAAAGTATAGCTGCTTCTGCTATGAAGCATGTGGATACCCCGTAAAAGCAACGTGCAAACTGCCACTGATTATGGTACCGACGGTACCATCTACTGAATTGCGTATATCTCCAAATGTGGGCATTACTCCTGAGTGCGTAATAGGTATAGAACGTTAATGAAGATCGCATATGTCCTACATTACCAACTGAACGCGTTAACTGAAAACAACAAATATATGGATGAAAGGCAGAGGCGGATCAAGGGTATTACGAACCGAAACGAACGGCACGACTGATATCAACTGATATTAACTAACAATCGAACTTTGTTACGCAATATGGTGGTCAGACTCGAAAATGGCGACGTACTGGAAATATCGCTCAAAGGTAACAGTTTCAGCCACATTGGAGGTGTTAATGTTTAGTGAAGGAGGAGGAGGTGAATATGGAAAAGTAAAAAAACAATTCAAAGGACATAGAAACCGCTACTGATAAACGTGTCTTTATATGGCTACATATGTGCCAGAGTATTTTTCCAATAATGTAACGAGGATACTACAGATTGTTTTATAAGAGATACACGTGCAAGGTTTATATGCAGCTGAAATGCAGCAGTCATCAGAATTGACACAGCTGTCAAGTACGAAATCTCTCTGGCTGAGCATCATTTGGCAACTCTGAATAAAACTGCGAATATCCATTGCTATATTGAAATCGATTTCACTCGAGGATATATCGTTCTTCTCGCGGGAGTATAAAAATACACATATACGGTTTATGCGTTATCCTATTTTTCTCTGATTTTTTATCAGCGTCTTTTTCTCCTTTTACTGTTAATTATGTATTTCATTAGAACCGGGAATAATATATCCTTGCTTCGATTAAAATATTTTTTTTATATTACTAAGTCTTTAAATAAATATTTTTGCCGAAATAACGTATAACATCGGGTGTCTAATTATTTTTGGATTTTTCGATCAGATAGCTCTTTCGATTTACTCCCCTGTTACTTGTTACCGATCTACACCGCGTCCTCCCAATTGGATCATGATGCAGGGGAAAAAGTTTGTGTAGGTAAAATGAAAAAAAAAGAGGATAAGAAAGCGATAACGTTTACCTGCCATTTATCTTATTCTGTAACAGCACTCTTTAGCCGCCGTGCCTCGGCTTATCCGAACATGTACTATGAATTCAATATACTGAATCGAAAAAAATTTGTTACAAGAGAT